CAGGTGCATTCATATAGACCAGATCACCATAGTCCAGCACAGGTAAAAAGGTCACAGTGACTAGCCTTTTCCTGGCCTCAAGTGAGAAACAGGACTTGTTTCTGAAAAAGCAAACTAGCTTAACCCTCAGCTTTCTAAGCAGATTATTGACCTGAAGTTTAAAAGAGAGGGAAACAAGCCAGATACCAAGGTATTTATAACAGACAACCACTTCAATTACTTTTCCTTGCGTAGTAACAATATCAAAAGTGGTCTCCGGTGCTTTTTTTACCTTAATTTTATCAACATTTAAAAGAAGCTTAATGTTATAAACAGAATAATGTTAAAAACAGCCTGTAATTTAACACCAGCCTCCTTAATGGAGGGACCTGCACAATACATCACGGTATCGTCCGCATAAAAATGTAAAGTTGCTTCATTCACATTTTCACCTAAACTATTGATGTAGATGGAGAATAAAAGTGGACCTAAAACAGAACCTTGAGGAACACCATTAGCAATGTTCAACCACTCAGAAGACAGCCCATCAAAATGAACACATTGGGACCTTTCAGAGAGGTAGTTCACAAACCACCCCACTGCATGGCTGGATATGCCTATACTGGCTAGCCTCTGCTTCAGAATATGATGATCGACGGTATCGAACGCTTTGGAAAGATCAATAAACAGAGCTGCACAACTCTGTTTTTTTTCTAAGATATTACAGGGTTCATACACTTTTTCCACCAATGATTTTCCATGACTTCTCAATGACCTTTACCTAATTTTCCATGACCAAAAAAAAATGACCACTGAAAATGGTTTATTTTAACATGGAACAGGAAAATAAGGTCTGCATATGAAACATGTAGTGCCTATCTAAAACAAATCAAATAGTAGGCTTACTAGCTTCTACACGCTAAAGCAACTGTAGTCAGGGATGCAAACTCATCAGGTATGAAAAAGGTGACAAGGATCCGGGCCCCCCGACCCCACGGAATATCGGTTTAGGGATAAAAGAGGATTTTAGCAGTCAGAACAACTAAAGCAGCAGTGTCAATAATAACAGAAACGCCAAAGAGTCACATCTAATATAAATATATTAAAGCATTTATTTATAATTTTGGCAGGACTGTTGAGCATTTTGAAAATGTATTTGCATGCCTCTGTTCAAGGCTTAGTCTTTCTATCTTTATAACCACTGGTGTAAAGTAACTAAGTTCATAAACTCAACAAGTACTATACTTGGGTACAATTTTGAGATACTTGTAATTTATTTAAGTATTTCAATGTTTTGCTACTTTGTTCTTCTTCTCCTCTACAGTTCAGAGGTAAATTGTGTACTTTTCCTCCACTACATGTATTTAATACCTTTAGTTACTTCACAGATGTGGATGAATGATGTGAAATATAATCAAGTGTTAAACCAGACTTTAGTTCCACCTGGAGTAAATCCACAAGCTACCCTGAAGTATACAAAGTCATTCAGACTAGCTGCACCTTCACCAGCTTTGAGAACACTTTCATGATCAATCATTATAAAACATATCATATTATTCTGAAATGGACCAATCTGCACAACGACTACTTTTACTGTCGCTACTTTCACTATATTTTGATGAGAATACTTTTCTACTTTTACTTGAGGAACATTTTGAATGCAGGACTTTTACTGTAACAGAGTATTCCTACACTCTGCTACTATACTTTTATTAAGTACAAGATCTGAGTACTTCTACTTTTACTCAAGTACAAGACCTGAGTACTTCTACTTGTATTAAGTACAAGATCTGAGTACTTCTACTAAAGTACAAGATCTGAGTACTTCTACTTTTATTCTAGTAAATATCTACTTATACCACCTCTGTTTATAGCCTATGAAAAAAACTATTAGAAAACGAAGGCTAAAGCTAACGTTAGCAGATAGTGACAATGTATGCTAGCTAGCTAGCTAGCTAGCTCAACGATTCCTTAAATGATATTGCGACAGAAAAACTTTTCAGTTCACATCACGCTCTGCTCTGAACACCTGAACGGCCCGTTCTAACAGCTGTTCACCAACGGCTCAGTCTGTGCCACAGTGACTCCGCACAGTTAACGAACGCATCGTAGATAATGTAGATGACCCTCATCCCGGAGCAGCAGAGTTCAGCCGACAGGCAGGAAGAGTCTCGAGTACACAGCTCGCGCTTCATATATTAAAAAATAACACCATGCATATCATGGCACATAATAACAGCCCGCGACCGCAGATTATTTCGGCGATTAGATAAAATGTAAATTATATTTGATGCAACTTTAGTTACATTTCCATGACTTTTCCAAAACTTTGGGAAAAATATTGTTTTCCATAACTTTTCCAGGGCCTGGAATTTGCATTTTGAATTTCCATGACTTTTCCAGGTTTTCAATGACCGTACGAACCCTGATATTAGCAATATCATTGACCACTTTCATTGTCGCAGTGATGGTGCAATGTTGCTTTCTGAAGCCTGACTGATGTTTACATAGGATGTAATTTTTACAAAAAACACCTTTACCTGTTCACTCACTAGGCTTTCAAGAACCTTGGCCAGAACTGATCATTTAGAGATGGGCCTATAATTATTTAATAAAGTGGCCTCCCCACCATAGGCGCGCGTGAGGCTCATGTTTGGGAAGGCTAAATAACTTTTTTTTACCTGATGCTGCTCTGGCGTCTATAGAAAATAAATCAACTCATTGAAAGCACCGCCTGCTGACCAATCAGAGCTCAGTGTGTGGAGTTTAAAACTATCAAATCATATTACAGGATAAAGGAAATACAGTTTAAACTGCCGTATGCAGTGAAGACTCCGACGTGTCACACTTATCATTCATATCACATTCAATCAGATCATCGATCATATAATATCACAATATTTCCTTATCTGAGTCAGCTTCTCAAGCCGTATCTGGCCGTGCAACACTTACAGTGTCATTACGTTGACGAAACACTCGAGTCAAATGTAATTAAAGTCAGATCCACTAGTGTCGATGGGGCAGTGATATCATAAAACTGTTGTACTGTTGTAATCCTGGATTATATGTTTAAGTCATGGATGGTTAAAGTTCATATTTGTCTAATATTAGTTTACTTTTCATTAATGAAGTATGACGCTGTGCCGTTAGTACACTTGTCCCTGTTTGTGATTGGTCAAATGTAGCTAACCCCGCCCCTTTCACATGCGCTCTCAGCTGGAGAGAGAAACCCTAGCTTGATTTACCGAGTTGATAACCAGCGTCGTAGGACCGCTTAGCTAGATCTCGTTTGTTAGGGTTAGTTAAGATAACTCAAACATATCCAGGGTCTGTTGAACTGGCTTCGTAGTGCACAGGGCACAGGTGGCTGCATAGAAGCGCAAATGTCAAAGACACAAACATACATTATATTTTTATTTTACCAGGATGCAGTGACAAAAATATTTGGGAAGGCTTGCTCCTGCTCCCCACCTTTTAGTAGAGGCAGGACATAAGCTGACTTCCATATTTTTGGAATTGTGTTCGTGCTGAGGGAGAGGTTAAAAAGAGAAGTAAGAGGTGGTTCAATAAAATCTGCAGCTATCTTTAAAAAGAAAGGTTCTACGTTGTCCAGACCAGCAGGTTTCTTAGGATCTAACATGGTGAAGGCTTCATGAACGGCTTCAATAGAAAAAGGAGAAAAACTGAAGGGGTTTTCCAAAACACGTTTTTCAGAGTCACAGACTGTGGTGTTCACAGCAGCAGAGTTAGTAACTGAATCAAACAGAGAACCACAGGACACAAAATGCTCATTAAAACAATTTAACATAGTGGCCCTGTCCGATATAGTGCCAGATGCTGTGGTAAGGCAAGGAGGTAGCTCATTACGGATCTCACCGGTGGATAACGATGTTATGGCTTTCCAAAATGTTCTAGGATTATTCAGGTTCTTTGTGGTAACTGACAGATAATACTTAGACTTAGCACTTTTGATTTGAGATGTGAAGCTATTCCTTAGCTGCCTAAAACGCAGCCATTCTACCTCTGAGCCTGATTTCCTAGCCTTTGCCCAGGCCTTGTTTCTCTCATGCAGGAGACTGGACAGTTAAGCAGAAAACCAAGGATTGTCTCGGCCCTTTACTCTAAATGTACTCAGGGGTGCATGTCTATCAATGATCTCCATAAAACCAAGATATAAATAAGACCATGCAGTTTCTACATCAGCACACAGATCAATTTTTCCCCAATCAAACCCAAACAGGTCATGTACAAAACCCTGCTCCACAAAATGTTTTATGTCTCTCTTGATGATAATACGAGGTTTAACCTTTTGGACCTTAGTGTCCCTAATTGTGGCTACAACACAGTGATCACTCAGATCATTAGCAAATACGCCCACAGATGAGTATTTATAGGGAACATTGGTTAGAATGAGATCAATTAGGGAGGATTTATTAGGGGACTTAATGTTAGGGCGAGTAGGACTGTCTACAATCTGAGTAACATTCAAAGAGATACAAAGGTTTTTAATACTGACACTGCAGTTAACCAGTCCCAGTTAAAATCTCCAAGTAGCACTATTTCCTTGTAGTCAAGTTGCAATAAAAGATTTGCCAATGAAGACAAGGAGTCCTTGACAGCTGAGGAGGGTCTGTAACAGCCCACCACCATGACCTGTTGACCCTTTGCCACTTCTATATTTAAGGCTAAAAATTCGAATTGCTTTGTGACGAAGGTTTGCGTCACTATGGACTGACGGCTTCAGGCCGGGTAATATGGCACTTTATTAGCGTGATTGCACAGTACAGTTGAGGTCTGTGGCTGATGATTGTGTGCACCTGGTGTCCTGTGTTGTCTCCTCCCCCCACACCTGTGTCTTGTTGTGCTGATTTGAGTGTGTGTATTTAGGCTCTGTTCCCTGTCTGATTGAGAGGCTGGTAGTGTGTGTGAGATCCTGGTGGCGGCAGGATGTGTGCAAGGAGAACAGCAGGATTGAGGCTGTGAACTTTGTGCACATTATTTTAATAAATGCCCACGTCGGGTTATATTTTTGGACGTTCTGCCTCTGCCTCCTTGCTTGGTCTGGGCCGCTCAACGGTCAGCTTCACAATTGGTGTCAGAAGTGGGATTTGACCAAGTAAGGAGGTGAAAATTACGAGAGGAAAGAAGAGGGACCAAAGAGAGGAACCGCGGCTGGGGGTGGCTATGCCTGGAACGGACCAGGGGGCCACGGCTGTTGAGGCAGCAGGAGACGAGAGACAAGCAGCAGGAGATGAGAGACAAGCAGGAGGAGGCGGACCCGGACCCACGAGGAGTCGACAGAGCCTGGGTCGTGCTGGAGGCAGACCAACGCATTGCAACAGGACAGGACAGCTTCCGGATGGGTGGCGTCACGACATGGTTGACAGCGGCTTCGCTGGCCCCGCTGGCCCCGCTGGAGGTGGCGGAGGAGGCGGCGTTGAGACCGGGTGGCTGACTGGTTGTCCCGAAGCCGAGACTGTGGGGACACTGTGCTTCCTGGGGAGAGGGGGAAGGAAATGTGACGAAGGTTTGCGTCACTATGGACTGACGGCTTCAGGCCGGGTAATATGGCACTTTATTAGCGTGATTGCACAGTACAGTTGAGGTCTGTGGCTGATGATTGTGTGTTCCTGGTGTCCTGTGTTGTCTCCTCCCCCCTCACCTGTGTCTTGTTGTGCTGATTTGAGTGTGTGTATTTAGGCTCTGTTCCCTGTCTGATTGAGAGGCTGGTAGTGTGTGTGAGATCCTGGTGGCGGCAGGATCTGTGCAAGGAGAACAGCAGGATTGAGGCTGTGAACTTTGTGCACATTATTTTAATAAATGCCCACGTCGGGTTATATTTTTGGATGTTCTGCCTCTGCCTCCTTGCTTGGTCTGGGCCGCTCAACGGTCAGCTTCACATGCTTACTGATAGATTTGGAAACTAATGTGGATACACTGAACTTATTCTTAACATAAATGGCAACGCCACCACCTTTATTAGGCCGGTCGGAACGATACACATTATAACCATTTAAGGCAATGTCGGAGGCCAAAATAGATTTGTTTAGCCATGTTTCTGATAAAACAATGACGTCAGCGTCAGTCGAGCTTGCCCAAATGCGGACAAAATCTAGTTTAGGTAAAAGACTACACGCATTCAAGTGGATGAATGCCAACCCAGACCTAGCTTTAAAATCAGCAGGAGTAGTGATCTGACTACTACTACTGGGTGGACCAGGGTTAGGTTGTACATTTCCTGATGGAAATAATAGCAAATAAAACAGGCATCTTTTCCTCTTATAAGCCCCGCGCCCCCCCTGAAATTCAAGGTGTTTGAAAAAAAAAAGAAAAGATTATAATGTTTTTAAATAAACTAAACGCTTTCATTTGAAGTTGTGAGTTTAGTGTTTTTGACACTAAGAAACACTGATGCACTGATCAATAACAATAATCCACAGCTCCTCTCTCTGCTCCAGAGGATTTATAAAAAATACATATCCCAATGACTGATTGATTTCTGATGCACTTTCTAAATAATAAAAAGGGAGTTCATATTTGTCTTACTGCATGTATTCATCAATGAAAAAGAAGCCATGTGCACATTGTGTAGTAATATAGAAAATTGAGGATGCAACGCATTGTTATGCATCGTGATATCGAATCGAAGACAGGATAATCGAATCGTGAGACCAGTGAAGATGCACAACCCTAGTGTTGTTATCCCGGGGACTCTTTTCAGTGACGGACCTTCGGACAGCAGAGCAAAGGTAAGGTTTATTCTGGTAAGTACATTTTATTATTTTAGCGCTGACAAACCGTTCATAAAACTACACTTATGTCAGTCATAGTTTTGAGCAACAAAAAGATCTCTAGCGGCACAAATCAATGTTTGTTTACAGGGGGTGTGGCCTATTCAGCCACCCAGCATCAAAAATAAACGATCAGTTTACACGTAGATATAACCCGTTCACTGCATATATTCTCCTGTAAACCCGAACTGCATGTGGTACAAACAATAACATGCTTCTCCAATTAGGAAGCCAACCAAAGCGTAACAGAGACCAAGGGCCCTTCTCACTTTGGTTAAATGGATTCCTTGCGTCCCTCACTTGCGTCGTTTCCCTGCGACTAGTCCCTCCCACCAGGGAAGCGTGGAGAGACGCAAGGAAACCACGAGAAGCAGGGAAATGAGTTTTAAGAGCAATGGGACGTCCTTTCCTCCGGAGCGTCACGTGAAGCGACGTCCGTTTGTGATGACGCCGCACAGCTGATCGTCTGACAGCAGCTCTGTCCCCGTTATTTTCACAAACACCCCCGCCTACACATTTACTGACACAAACATTTGTATCATCTGTTGTAGACCCAAATAAATAAAATCGAATAATATAGAAATAGATAAATTGAGGCACACATGTAGTTTTGACCATTAACTGTGTGGTATTGTTATGTCAATGCCTATTTGTATGGACCTCTATCAGGGAATCCATTCATTCTGTATCATTGTGTTGAGCCAGGTAGCATCCCCAGAGGAGGAGTGTCAGCGAGAGTGAGGAGAGCAAAGAGCAGGAGGACATAGATTACTTTGCCCGCCCCGAGCCATCTATGTTACAGATGTTTTTAGAACAGCACCCACAACAACATACCAGAAATCCAGTTGTGCAGAAGGTATTCATTCACCTGTAAAGATGGCACCAGCAGAAAGTGGCTTACATATTGCAAGGGACGTCATATGCCGTTTTGTTTTGTATGTCTGGCATTTGGGAAGAGGACTGACACTGGCACATTTATAACTGGAATGTCAGATTGGAGGCACGCACACCAGCGTACAGAGGAGCACGAAAAGAGCATTACACATTCAACCTGTGCTGAAGCTTTTTTCTTACGGTGCTCTAAAGCAGACATCGAAAGCATGTTTGTTGGCAGTCAGATGTCTGCTCATAGGGAACAAGTCCGAAAGAGATGTCAGGTTTTGGAGCGTGTGGTGGATGTGGTGAAAGTGCAGGCAGGTGGAGAATGAGGGAGCATATATGCTAGCTGACAACACCATGGACCACGGTAACTTTTTGGAGCTCATCCTTTTATTAGGAAAGTATGATGTCTGCTTAAAAGAGCATCTGGATGATTGCGTAGAGAAGAGCAAGAAATTGCACCAATCCAGTGGAACAAAAGGTAGAGGGTCTCTCATCACCCTACTCTCCAAAACTACTGTTAACTCCATAATAGAAACTGTTGGTAGTCTAATCAAAGAAAGTATCTCCAGTGATGTCCAGAAGGCCGGTATGTTTTCTGTTCAGCTGGACACAACACAAGACATAACTTCTCAGGATCAGTGTTCAGTCATCTTAAAATATGTCAATGAGACCGTGCAAGAGAGGCTTGTGGCTTTAGTGAAGTGCCATGCATCCACCGGACAATACTTTGTGAACTTGCTCTCAGAGGTCTTAGAGCATCTGAAACTGGACAAGGGCATGTGTATAAGTAATGCAACAGATGGAGCATCCAATATGCAAGGCTGGTACAAAGGATTTTCTGCACTGATGACCTCCCAGTCACCCACTCATGTCCATGTGTGGTGCTATGCTCATGTTCTTAATCTTGTCCTGGCTGAAATTACCCAAACTGTCATCGAATGTGGAACACTTTTCAACCTAATCAATGGCATAGCAGTGTTTATCAGGGAGTCATATCAGAGGGTCAATCTGTGAGAGAAACAAGCCCAAGAAAAGATGCCGTCGCCTCATCCTGTAGACTCATCTGGTCCTATCTCTATTGTGTTGTCATAGAAAGTGGAGGCAGGGCACTATAGGGTCCCCCCCCCCCCCCCCTAAATTCACTAGAAGTCATCATTTAAGGGGTTATTTTTAAAACTTTCTTTAAGTTGTTGGCATACCCCCCCAGACATTACATTGCATTTAGCTGAGGCTTTTATCCAAAGCGACTTACAATAAGTGCGTTCCACCAGGTAGACACAACCTTGAAGAAAACAGAATCATATAAGTACATCAGGTTTCATAGAGCCAAACATTTCAAGTGCTACTCAACTGGCTTTAGATAAGCCAGTCCTTTATTAGTATATAAGTGCTTTGTTAGTAATTCTATCGCTCGAAGTGGAGTCGAAAGAGATGAGTTTTCAGTCTGGAAGATGTGTAGGCTTTCTGCTGTCCTGATCTCAATGGGGAGCTCATTCCACCATTTTGGAGCCAGGATAGCAAACCCACGTGTTTTTGCTGATGGGAACTTGGGTTGGCCTACCTGCCTGTCAGCCTTCCTTCTGTGCACAAACTTATCTTGTGCCTTCATTGGTCATGTTCGTGTGTGTTGGAGGAGGGGCTCTGTAAGGAAGTCTGAAGTTGGTGCATCATGGAATGTGGCTCATTAAAAAATAAGTACAGCTATTATCTCCCTCTTGTATAAATGGTTCGGCCCCACCTGCAGCAGGTAAACCAGGGTTGCCAACTCTCACGCATCTGGCGTGTGACACACGCTTTCACTCTCAATCTCACGCTGCCCAAACTATTCTCACACCAAAAACAAGATGAACCGGTGATCGTTTTTGGTTGGTTATTTACAATGTTGAGTTGACAGCTGCTCAAGCTGTTGATCCGCTCACTCCCCGCCTCCACCACCATCAGACCCCCCTATTAGTGCTCGGTGACTGTTCGCTTTGTGAGAGGGTTTGAAGGTCTAATTTCTAATGATTGATAGTTACACATACTTGTGGTATGTATTAGTTTAGTTTGCCCCTGGTACGTAAAAAGGATAGTAATAGCGTTTTTTTAAATTATACTGAGTTATTGTTCTTGTCAGGAACCGCTACTATTCGTTTGTTTTATGGATTTGGGCCGGTCTGGGTCTAAATGCCAGGGCCGATTTGCTGTCCTAGTCCAGCCCTGGTTTCCATAGTTTCCCCACAGCAGCAGACGCACTCACTCATTCATGACGTCCGCTGGCGCATCATAAACACGTCGGATAGTGAAAGTGCAGTCGGATTCTCTAAAGTACCGCAGTCTCTTCTCCTAAGTCCTTTTGAATTCTCCTATCCACTATCCCTTAACCCCGTGACGTTTCACTCAGAGGTCAAGGAATAGACGATAGGGTTAGACGATAGGAGCTGATTTTTGGATTATCCGACCGCAACCCAGGTCTCAGATAAACCAGGAAATCTGAATTAGAGCCCAGTAAATATGATGGGCGCAGTCACTTTTAGATTGAATGCTTCGTATTTTTAAATGTCCACCTAAAATGCGAGATTGGAAAATAACAGACACCACTAGAGTGCGTTCCAAGGGTTTGGTTTGTTTGGTGGCTCAACAGATCTGCATTGTGTGCATATCTGTTTTGTAGCAGGTCGCCAACATGACTTCAAAAATGTAAAAGTAATACGAATATTAAGAAAAGCTGTGACTGCACCTGACTCACCTGCCGCCATCTTGAATGTATCTTACCGCCATCTTGCATAAGCAACCAATTGTGTCAGGGCTCTATGATGCTGACATTCATGGTGTTCAGTCCAG